ACATGGAGGATTTATTACCAGATGCAACCATGTCCTAATGTATGTAGGTGTATTTTGTTAAAAGCCACCTTTTCACCGTTCTCAGGGCAATTATTCATTATTTTGCGTCTAGCACCTCTGGGCTTCTTGCTATGATTTCCCCAACGACTATATTTTAGAGGTATCTTCTGTTTTGTTTTATCATCTCCAACAGCTGTGCTCTTTTGCTGCCTTTCTTCTCTAGCTGAGGGTCTCCATCTCTCTGCTCAAGCGCTGTCTGGAAGCTTTGTTAAAGAGCCACTCACATAGATTAGAGTTCTTCAGATTTTAGACAGCTAGCCAGTTAATCCTCAAACGGATGGGGATTTTTGTGCACTGTTTCTACAAGTGCCAAGCCCAAGGGCCCACCTATGAGAAGGTTTCCCGTGAGAAAACTGAGCGGGAAAAGCCGTATATGCCCTTGCTCTCCCATAGGTAGCACATAGAGTCATAGAGTTGGAAGAGACCACTGAGGTCATCCAATCCAACCCCCTGCCATGCGGGAAACATCCGTCAAAGCACTCCCGACCGATGGCCGTCCAGCCTCTGCTTCAAAACCTCCAAAGAAGGAGACTCCGCCACCCTTCGAGGCAGCCTGTCCCACGGCTGGACAGCTCTGACCATCAAGAAGTTCTTCCTAATGTTCAGAAGGAATCTTTTTTCCCATTGTTTGAAACCATTGTTCCATGTCCTGGTCACAGAGGATTTAAATATATTCTCACAGACACAGACAAAGACTACTGTTGTCCCCATTGGTGCTTCTGGTCTAACCCTCTTTTCCCGTTCTGCTTTCCAGTCCAAAATATAGATTGGGTTTCCACCAGAGGGGGACACCTTCCAACCTCCAGTGCCAAAAGCTAGTCTCCCAGCAATAAAAGGTGAATGGCTGCTCCAGGAAACCTCCAGTAGCGGAAATCCACCTTTTAAATAGGTTGTAAAGCCCCCCTCGGCTCCACTTGGCACCAGAAACGACCAGCTTTCCCCATTCCCACACCCCCAAAACTGGAAGTGGACCAGCGTCTATTTGTGGTTTTGCTTTGGAACGTTTTGTGGGGAAAGTCTTGGCAACTCCAAGAAGACCCCAGGGATAGAAACCTTGCCAACGGTGCCCAACTCTTAAAGACTGGGGACTTGGTGGCCTTCATTATTGGCCAGAGATCAAGGCCATCAAGGCCATTATGAAATGTTGGGGTGACAGCAGGTGCAAGAGAACCAGAGTATGCATTCTCTTAAGGCACGGTTATGATCCGTTGGGTGGGCGGGATAGCTCCGTGAGTTGGAGTCCCCAGAGACTGGGGGTTCAATTCCCCGGGAGAAAAGCCAGCCTGCGTG